TATCTTTATCCTTTCTTAAAAGCTAATTTCTTATAGATATAAATCTATAATACCTATATACTAATATAATAGTAATATAAATAGTATTAGAAATATACCTAAGTAGACTACTTATAAAACTACTCTTAAGACTACTAATAAGATTACTAATAAAACTACTAATAAGACTATTAATAAGACTACTCCTAAAACTACCTATAAAACTATTATAAAAAAGCTATCCTATATAGTTAGATAGTAGGTACTAGCTTATAAGTATAAGTTTAAATATAAATTAGATTATTATAATTCTTAAAAATTATTATAATACTAATATTTTAAAAACTATACTCTTTAAGAAATACGCTATATCTAAGCCTTATATAGGCCTTTAATTCTAAAGATATCCTTTAAAAATCTTATTAGGGAGATTATACTTAAATATTATAAGGTTCACTCTATTATACTTAATTATATTTAAGCTTCTACTCTTAAAGTATTATTAAGTTTATAGTTATAACGCAGCCCTCTTGTAAAAAGACTATAGTAAAATTCACCTTATATGTAGGTATAATTCTAGAAACACTATATAGGTATTTTAACTTATACCTTCTACTAGTTAAAGAAAATAGTATAGAAACCCTATACGTTCTTACTAGTAGGTAAACCCTCTGAATATTATAAAGTTGAACGCGCACCCTAGCTAAATAGACTAACAGAATAGCAATAGCATTAGCTGTGTAGTATAAGGCTAGCAGCAGTAGCGCTATATATAGTAGGGCTGATTATATTAGGGCTAAATAGGTTACTGAGGCTCTTATAGCTTAGCGATAGCTTTGCTAAACCTTCTAGTAAGGTGCTATAAATACTACTATAAGAGAGATAACTCCTCAACTAAANCTCCTTAACTAAAGAGGTTATTATAAGAGGTCCTTATAGCTAGAAGTATAAAAACTCTGCTGCTATAGGTAGGGCTTTATACCCTTCCCTCTTCCTCTTCCTCACCCTTAAACCTATATTAATAACCTATCCTTATAGCTTATAATAAATCCTTTATAATATCTATACTATGTAAAACACTTAAGTTTACTGAGCGTAAGCTAGGTAGCGCCTTTATCTCTGTGAATAATATATAATATATTTAGAATAACTTTAACCTTAGTATACTTAATAAGAAGCTCTTATTTAAAGAATAATCTAAAAAAGACTAAAAGTATATAGTCCTAATAGCCTTATTAATAAGCCTCTTAGAAACCCCTATAGGTAGTAATATTATCCTTCTTACTAAGAAAGCTTTAGATAATATTAACGTAGAGTTTAACTATATCCTTAGCTACCTTAATAAGTAAGACTTCTTCTCTAAAGCACTTAAGGGTGCTAAAGAGGATATAGGCCTTACGTAGAGCTCCTAGACTATAAGCTAGCTTTAAATACTAATAAAAGTGAAGTAATATATAAATATTAGTGAGTGCGCCTTACGCTGACTAATAGAGAGAGCGTTGCTAATAATAGCATAGCTGCTGCTAGGCTTGTCAGCTTAGCGTACTACTTTGTTTGCGGATGACGTAAGGCATACTAAAGGCGTTAGCTAGCCTGATCGAATAAGAAGACTAGAATAATAGTGATGACTTAATAGTAGATAGCGAAGTAGTGATGGAGATAGTATTAGTAGTATAGGTGATACATAAGAGAGAGGATAGGTTAATAGTTTAGTAGTCTATAGTAATTAAGTAATTAAGTAATTATAAACTATATTATTATCAAAGTGAAGTTAAAGATTATAAGGTTATCTAGTGTGACTGACGTGTATATATAAGTGTAGCTATAGTTAAGAGAGCTATAATTATATAACTAAAGGCTGTATATATTATTAGGAGGCGTAGAGTTAGGAGGTCTGTCGCTCTAAGTAGGTAAAAATCACTATGAACAGCTAGAGACCCTTAAAGTATTATAAGAGAGTTCTAAAGCCCTCTTAATTTCTATATTTAATAATATATTTTTATTTCTTTTTCTAAATTCTTTATTAATATTTTTTAGTATATATATAAGTAGCTATCTATACCTATTAGGTTATTATTAATATTAAAGATCTTATTTTAGTTAAAAAGATTTATATATTATTCTAAGAAATAAGTACTTTATAGTTAAGTAGTATATAAAAAGGTATTTTATTTTATTTCTATTTTATTATTTTGCTTTATTTATATTATTTTAGAATATATTATATATATTAACTATTATTAGAGAGCTATTAGTAAAACTTAGTTTTAAAATTATTTATATATAACCTTAAAATTAAACTTAACTATTTAATATAAGCCTAAGAGTAATAAAGCTATTCCTAAAACTAAGAAAAGTATTATTATTAAGAAGACTCCTATAAAGTAAAAGAGGTTTATAAGTATACTTAAAGTAAAGAAGAGAGCTAGAGTTAATTAAAAAGATAGTATCTCTATTCTAAATAACTATAAATTAAATATACTCTTAGATATTACTATATTAAAATATCTTAGCTAATTTTAATTACTATCTCTTAATACTTACTAAGATACTTAGAATAACTTTAATATTACTAATATAATTATTTCTTCTAAAATTACTATAAATAGAAATACTACTTTTTAGATTAAAAGTAATATTAATACTTTAGAGGGAACTAATAACTAATAGAATAAAGCCTAAAGGAATAAAGCCTAAAGAAATAAAGCTTAAAGGAATAAAGCTTAAAGAAATAAAATTTAAAGAAATAAAGTCTAAAGGAATAAAGTTTAAGGGAATAAAACTTAGGGGAATAAAAACTAAAGGAATAAAGAACTAAATAATATAAATAAAGAGAAAACTAATTATATTAATAATAACTAAGAATTACTTAATAATAATAATATATCTAAAGTAATTAGTAACTATTAGAATAAAGAGTAAGATAATAGAAATAAGTAGAATACTAGCCTTTATAATAAGATTTAAGCTTTCTTTAATAGAGGTTATACTCTATAGGAAATCTTTAGTAGTAGTAATATAACTAATAGAAATATAGAAAATAGTTCTATAATTAAGAAACTTTCTAATAAAAGAAATAATAATAATATCCTTAGTATTAAATAAAAAAGTTCTTTTAAGATAATATAGGAAAATAATAATAAATATAAGAAGCTATTAGATATATAGCTAGATAATATAGATTTAAAGTAAAAAATCCCTAAGTATTAAATAATATAAATAGGAAATAATAGCTTTAGAACTATAGAATAAGAAATAGCTTAGTTAGATTAAAAGTTTAAAGAATTTAGTAATAAGAATATAAAACTAAATAGTAGAAACTATATATAATATATTTTAAAGATATATAATAGTTAAGTTTCTATTTATAAACCTATACTACTAAAATGAAATTTTATATAAAATTATTATAATAGTTATTATAATATACTATAACTTTAAGAAGTATAGTATTACTTATAACCTTATAGGTATAAATAGAATCTCTACTTATACCTATATTTATATTTACCTATATACTTAGTAAACCTATCTACTTATAGCTTAGGTTTACTTATAACTTAACCTATTTATATAGCTACCTATAGGTATCTATAGTATAGGTAATTTGAAGCCTACCTATGTTTCCATCCCATCTCGGCTGAACATCAAGGCGTTATCAGGTGCAATCTAGTGAAGTGTTGCCTAGGTTGTAGGGACTGAAAACCTAAAAGAGGACGAGTAGGCGAACTTGCAGTACTTCGCCTAGTGGCCTTTAAACGCGAATCCCATGAACTGAGCGGTTGAAAGCATGGAATAGTGGTTGCCTCTCGGGTGATTACAGAAGATTTGCCGAGGAGCAGGCAGGAGCTTAATACCGGAATCCGTGGAAACATTAGGATATGGCACTTCAGGGTCAGTCCAATAGGCGTCATTTGATGACAGTGCAACCACCACAAGTGATTTGAGACACCAATAAGGAGATTGTGGTGAGTTGTAGTCTTCGGTAAGATACATATTTCTGATAAGGATTGGTTAGCTTCTCGCCTAGGTGACAGAAAGTGGCGACGCACGGATACACCCAGCCAAGGTTCAGTGTCCCATCTGAGTAGAAAATGTCTTTTGAGTTGTTGGCCCACCATCGTAAGTGGCGGAGCAGAAATCCCTTCACAGCGCCGGGGCTCGTCAGGGGTGCCGGCATGTTCGGTACATCTGCGAGAGCAAGAGCTGCAAAGAACCCGGCGGCGGCAAACCGATAGGTAAGTGAGCGACCGAAAGGTATCACGGCGCCGTTGGGATCAAAAAACCTCCAAAAGCCTGCACCGAAGTCTCGAGCTTGTTGTTGATACTTCGCTGTTCTTGCAGGATCACGATCGCCAGCAAATCTTATGTAAAGCAGCTGGCTGAACTGGATTGCAAAACTGCCGGAGTAAAAACAGGCATTGCGTCCGTTTGGAAGTGCGTTGGCTCGGCCTGTCTCTAGAAAGATCCGATATTCCTCGTCATCTATGGCAGGAGTTCTCCACAAGCCATCACTGGACCATCCATCCTCCAAGTAGAATGTGTCGAGTACTCTCAGGTCGTCGTCGATTTGATTGCGCACGTCCGGCGTATCAACGTTACACACACGTGAAAGGGCAAGGTTGCTAAACACCCGAAACCAGAGCCAGTTAGCTCGATGAACTAGCTTATTGTTCATGCTTGAAAGCCAGGTAACAAGTTTCTGCTGGGTCTCGGGACGAAGCCTATCCCACAAAATATGTCGAGGTGCTGCCAACAGGACAAAGGAGATCATCTCGGCTTCGACCATTCGCTGGTCATAGTCTTGAATATCGCCCCAGTATTCTGGATGATCTGGGTCAACGCCAGCGTCGAATCCATCAATCCAAGGTTGAACGAGTTCCCAATTGGGATCGCCGCTCATCAAAAGTGCCCCGGCAGCCCACAACGGCCTGGCGAAGCCCTCAAGTTGGGCGGCATTTTCATCGAAGTGAGTACCCGTGGCAACTGGAAGCTTGATTCTAGCCTTTCCAAGAGAAAAGTATTGAATCAGAGGCTTGAGGAAAGCTTCTGTAGCCCTCACCACGTCATCTCGGGACTTCAGTGGGTTATCAGAAAAACCTGGAAGGGGCGGCATCTTGCTAGATGACGAAACCTACTGATGTAAATGCACCGAATAGAACTTTCGCCTTTGATACTTTGCGCCAAACGAGAATGATCTTCGCTTTGACACCAACAGCAGGAACGTTGTGCTAAAATCAGAGGGCAAATATCTCGGGCAACCATCGGCCGGGGGACGACGTGCGGGGCCGAAGGGGGTCTACCCCGCGTTTGAGTCGGCACCTATGACTGGAGAATGTGCGGGCTGCAAGGTTTAGAACAGAGCCAACCGGCTTTTCGGAGCATTTAATCTCGGTGAGAAACTTGTATTCCCTGAGAAAGGTGGAATAGTTTGCCAGGCCCGAATACCAACCCTCGTACTTGGTGCCACCTAAGTTTGAGCAGCCGTCTGTACCCGTGAGCCCTCGGATGAGCTTGCGCAAGAAGCTTATAATCTTTTACCTGTGTCGAACTCATAACCACTCTCGACTTCCCATCAGATTGTTGAAATGCTGGTCGAAATACGAAGCACTCGGCAGGCCTGGCTTGCCAATAACCCCACAGTCAACGTCGGAAGCTGCCCTCAGCCGACGATGTCGACCACAACCCCAGCCCGTCTGCCTTCGCAAACACTGAGAGATCGCTTGTCGGAGTTGTTCTCCGAGAACGTGACAGCAAAGATTATCCGAACCGCCACACAAAATTTAATTGACAACGCAAGTCTAGGCACCTTTCATCAGATTAGTGACTTTCGAAGGTCTCAATACTGACAGTTATCAGGACCCGCCCAAGAGATTTCCTGAGACAGTTCCGCAGATCGGTCCCAATTATGGCCAGTATCAATCCAGAAACATCGACTTTTGGACCTGTGGGTTCTTTGCAGGCAGCCTCTACTCACTTCTTGAGAGAGCCATCAAATATCCCCACACTATCAAGTTGGATAATCCAGACATCGATCTGCCCAAGCTACGAAGACGGCTCCAAGTACTAGCACAGGCCTGGTCAGACCCCATCCATGGCGAATCCCGACTTACCAACACTCATGACCTTGGTTTTATCCAAATGCCCCATATGAGACCTAGGTGGGAATTGTTTCATGATGAAAAGGCTCTTAACACCATCCTCACGGCTGCCAAGAGCCTGCATACTCGATTCAATCCTGTCGTTGGAGCCATTAGATCATGGGATCAGTTGACATGGTTGAAAATCCCACCTAACGTAGGCATGGATGACAACTTCATCGTCATCATAGATTCAATGTGCAATCTTGATCTTCTCTTCTACGCCGCAGCTCACTCTGGTGACAAACAACTCGCAGATGCCGCCATTGCACACGCCCGTACGCTCATGAAGTCACATCTCCGACTGGAACCACCGGAGCCAGAGCAACGGTTCCCCGGTTCATTGTACAGCACCTTCCATGTCGTCAATTTCTCACCAATTACCGGGGAAATCAAGGGACGGTGTACAGCACAAGGGTATAGTACGTCGTCGACTTGGTCAAGAGGCCAAGCATGGGCCATATTGGGGTACGCCCAGACCTATGTCTGGACTGGGGAACGTGAATTTCTAGAAACTGCATGTGGACTTGCCGAATACTTGTTATTGCGTTTGGAGAAAGCACCAGCAGAGGTCGAAGTCCCGGCCCCGGATGGGTCCGAGCGGAAGATTGGGAGATACGTGCCGGTGTGGGATTTCGATGCTCCGATTGACGATGGAGAACCCCCGCTACGGGACACCTCGGCCGGGACCGCAGCTGCCAACGGTTTGCTGATCCTAGCCCAGTCTCTTGCAGGGCAGGGTCTTCACGATCTCAGCGACCGCTTCCTACAGGGCGGGCTTAGAATCGTTGGAGAGACTTTGGAGTTCTCCCTGGCTGATGAGAAGGCTCGGCTGGACATTGGAACGAACGGTGAATTGACGGGAATCGACGCGGTAGGAGGTGAATGCTTTGAGTCGGTCTTGAAGAACGCCACAGTCTGTAACAATCCAATGAGCAACCATCGAATGAAAGACCACGGGCTGGTCTATGCTGACTACTATCTGGTGGAGTTTGGAACGAGGCTGTTACGGATGGGGCTGGTTTGAAGAGGGTAGGACTAGAACAATGACGTCGACCTTCTCAATAGCCATGCGGCCTCCCGTTCGTTCTTATCTTGCTCGGTCCTACTGGGCATGTCACCTGAACACATCTCGTATCTCTGGCCAACAATGGGACAGCGAAGGTATGCGGCCAAGATATTGGCAGGAATATCCGTACAGGGACCTCATTTTAAGACATGCGTCGGCCCACCCTTGACGTCCAGCCCGACCACCGGGACCCATATTGTATCATTGCTGTGCGAGAATCCCACTCAGAGTCAACTTATCAGAACCGTAAGTTCCATATCAGCCAGGGTTACTCGCATACACAAGCAAGCCAAGTTCTGGGGTGCATTGCCAACACCGTGGGATTCCCCTACGATAGGTGCTGCCAGATAGACCATGACCCTGAGAGACTTTCCTAGATCAAAGCGACTTTCGGAACACACTCCGGCACGCATGATTGGAGCATTGGCCCCAGAGTGAAGTTCAGTTGCCTTCGTCGCACGTACTTTACACCACAACAGTCTCACTCTCAGTGGCGCTTCTGTCCATTCTGCATCCGATGAGCCGTATCCTCGGCTCAGGAACAAAGTTGAAGGGCACCAACAGGCGCACCTTGAAGGGTTGATGGCCTCGATCAAGCGGCATGCTCTGCACGTAGGAGCCTTGTTTGGGCAACGTGGTGTTGGTGGCGACCCGGAAGCGCAAGCTTATGCAAGAGCACGCGTTATTCGTCACTTTCACAACCAACAAGGTCCTTTGTCTAGACTGGCCTCCTCCCCCCGCCTGTCATCCCACGTCAAAGTCTCACGACTCCACGGTGACACCGACCCAGAGCAATTGAACCACCACGGAGCGGTTTGCTCATTAGGTCAGACCGGAATCCCGTCAGGTGGGGTCGATCGCGTCATTCCGCTCCGGTGATTCGACGGACCATCGCCCTTGTCTCCGTTCTCGGTCTTGGCCGGGCGGATACCGGTACTGTAGGGCCTTGTCGCCAAGTCCGCCGAGACCTTGGCTCACCGGGATGTTTCTCTCGGCGCTCCGCCTCCAGCTCCCGCCCGCGATGCCACGGGAGACGCGCTGCTGGAAGGATTCGCTAAGGTCTTGTCCTAGGTAATGCTAAGACTTTTGTTACCCATACCCTCGACCCGTTGGAAGATGGCAACGGACGAGAACCCCACGAGGCGTGAAACCAAACAAGATTGCGTGCTTGTTGGCGGCGGTTGGTTGTGTGGGCAGGCTGGGGGCGTTCGCGTCTTGCGGCGAAAACCCGAGTGAAAGTTCTGCAGACCAGCAGGGTCGCATCAGATGCTTGGGGGACCTCTAGAGCTGAATAAAAAGGCAGCATGATGATGGTCCATGTGGTACGTACCTGGAGGCAGAGGAATGATTTCGTCTTCGCTTTCTTCTCTCTTTCTTTTCGTCCTTCTCCACATGAGTCTTCGAACTCTCTGAAGAGATCTTCATCCCACAAGGTTCCATCATTTGGAGTCATTCGCACCTCATCTTTGAGCCTCACATGCAGTCAACATAAGCTACCCTCAACAAGCTCAATCACACGATTCCGCCCCCCGGGTAACTTCCGGAACGGAGCTTGGTCATCGGTAGACGGCGCATATCTCGTCTTCCACGTGGCGTAGGCATGGACGCGCTCAAAAAGATTGGCGGGTGGTTTGCGCCTCCGCCTAACAAGGCAGAGGATGGCCGAGATGCGTGGCCCTCGCGGGCGGCCTTCCTGCTGGCCTCCATGGGTGGCTGCGCTGGCATGGGTAACCTCCTACGATACCCGTCACAGGTGTACAACAATCATGGACTGCAGTGGTACATTCCATATTTGATGGCCGTCTTCATTATCGCAATTCCTGTTTTGGTGCTGGAGATTGCTATTGGGCGTTTGTGTTTCCCTTCCCCAAATGCTACCACGTCTAATGATTGTGAATAGAGGCATATCGCGGAGGAAGTGTTGTCGCCTACAACAACCTCAACCAGAAGCTCAAGGGCACTGGACTATCCCTGTTGTATGTCGGTTTCGTGGTCGGCCCTTACTTCGTCGTCAATCTGGCATGGATCATGAACTACTTCCGGCAATCATTCACCAGCCCGCTTCCATGGACCAACCGAGGCGAAGAGTTCTTCAATCGCGATGTAGTCGCCAACGTCGATCCAATTGTAGGGAATCTTACTGCCGATGGTAGTGCTGTTGCCAACTACACACAGTATCCAGGCACTGCTTTGCTGGGTGAGACGGTCGGATGGACCCTCTTCACCTGGTTCCTGTGCTGGCTGTGCATCTTCCGCGGCGTTGGTTTGACGGGCAGGGTGGTCTACTTCACCATGGGCCTTCCGATTGTTGTTACAATTGTACTCATTGGAAGATCGGTCTCCCTGGAGAACGCCGGTGAAGGTGTCAAACTGTATTTTGCGACGTGGAGAGGCTCTCAACTTGCCAGCGGACAGGTCTGGCAGACAGCCTGCGGGCAAGTTTTCTTCTCAACTGGTGTGGGATTTGGCTACTTCACCTCCTACGCGGTAAGCATTGCGCCAACAGCTTCCTTATCCTCATACATAACTGACTCACTCCGCCTAGTCGTACAACCGTCAGTACTCGAATGCTGTCATGGACTCCATCCTCATCGTATGCAGCAACGTTCTGTTCGAGAACATTGCAGCCTTTGCTGTGTTCGGTGTCGTGGGCTATCTGGGAATGTACCCTGATCCTGAGAACCCTATTGGAGGTTTCACAGTCGGCTTCCTAACCCTTCCTCTCGCCGTCACGGAGATGCCTGGCGCCAACTTCTGGGCTGTGGCCTTGTTCTTTACTCTCATGGTCTTGGGTTTCAGCTCGGCCTTCGCAATGCTGGATGCCATTGTGACGCTAGTCATGGACACCGGCATCAAGTTCTCGCGTCCGATTGTTGTCACAGCTCTGACGATTCTCTCATTCCTGCT